AAAAATATAGTGCAATATCATCTCACACCCATTAGGAAGACTACTTTTGAAAAAAACCAACAAAAAATTATTAGTGAAATGAGAAGAAACTAGAAATGTATGCATTGTTGGTAGGATTGTAAAATGGTGCAACCACCAAAGGGAAACACTGTGGAGGCTCAGTGCACTTCATGCATTACCTCAAATGCACTACCAAATATGCAGCAATCCCACTTCTGAGAATCCAAAAGAATTGAAAATGGGGTCTCAATGATATCTGCATATCTACTTCCACTGAAGCACTCAAGCACAGTGGTAGAAGCAGCCCAAATGTCCATCCACAGGTGATGGTATAAGCAACATGTGCCATATGCATAAGACAAAATATTTAACCTTTAAAAAATAAGGAAATTCTGTCATATACTATAATCAGTGAGTCTTGAGAACATTATGTTAAAAGAAAAAACAATCAGAAAAGGAAAAATAGTATGGTATTTCACTAACATGAGATAACTAAGAGTCAAATTTCTAGATGCAGAGAGTAAAAATGTGGTTATTAGGGCTAGAAGACAGTGGTATGTGGAGTGACTGTTCACTAGGTAGAGTTTCACTTTTGAATGTTCTCTGGAAAAATGCAACACAAGCGGGAGTGGGCTATGGCAGGTGAGAGGATCCCTTGGGAGTGAGTTGTTTCTATTTGCATCTTGTTGTGTGTGAATATACCAAATACTACTGTACAAAACCACACTTTGACTGCTTAGGAAAGGCTGGAGAGATGGCTCAGTGGTTAAGAGCACTGGCTGTTCTTGCAGAAGACCCAGGTTCAAATCCCAGAACCTACATGGTAGCTAACAATCGTCCATTAACCCATTTCAGGGGATTCAACACCCTCTTCTATCTTCCACAGGAATTGCATGACACAGGTGCGCTTACACACATGCAAGCATAACACGCATACACATTAAATAAAAATAAATAAATCAAAATTTTTAAATTCTTAGGATGATTTTGTGGGATTTACCATAAAAAGAAAAGAATCTGCCCAGATTTGAGGGGAGGCACCTATCTTTAATCTGTCACACCCATCACAGCATATTACAAGCATTTTCAGATTTGGATGGTAATTTCTTTCCAAAGGGACCATAACCCACCTCCCAGAGATGAAGAGAGTCACAATTCCGAGTTAGAAGTGGATGCTGTTCCAAATGTTAAAGTAGGAGAAAATGACAAAGTTTGTTTAGTCAATGAGAAAAAGTGGGCTAGAATACCGCTTACTCATTTTTACAACTGTGATTCATTAGCCATTTATTCTGCCCCAAATCCTGGTTTCTCTCACTATTTAGACAGTGCCTGCCTCCTCCCACCCCTAGCTTTCCTGATTGAGGGGGCTACAGACCCTAATTGGATAGGTCAGATAGGAACAATCAGCAGAAAACAACCACAGGAGACCTTTCAACATCAATAAGCACATAGAAAATTCAACAAAGTAGCATTTAGATAGTCTGGACAATGCGGCCATTATAAATGCTCCTCTCACAAGCAGTGATTCAAATGACAACTTCGGAAAGGATTTGCACAGAGCCCCTTGGAAATGGAACATGGGCAACTCAGAGCCCATGACATGTTACAAGGTCAAACCTGACTGAACAAAGATCCAAAGCAGCATTGAATGACTTATTTATTCAGCCCTGCTTCGTACAAACCTGGGAGAATGTGACATCTTTTAAATTGCTTCCCTGATGGGCAATATCAATGGTGCATGGGAAATGTTAGCAAAAATTTTGAAAAGAGCAGAATGTTTTACAAGGCAATGATTACAAGGTATAGCCATAGTGAGACTTCCAGTTAATTCTGCAAGCTGCCCTGATGTCTCACACTCTTAGGACAGAAGGAGGAATGGTCAAGAGTGGAGAGGAAAGCCCTGACTTTTATTTCCTTCCACTGACTGAAGAGCTAGCCATTACCAGGCCACTAAGTAGAAACTTTCCACTGTGTATGCCATGCAAGTGATGGTAATGACATTCTAATATTACTCTCCAAATGAAGAGTCTTCCTGATAGTATGTGGGAATGTTTGTGTTAAAACCCCACTGGAACCAATCTTCTGGTTATTTTCAGCCTTGAGATCTGTAGAACTCTCACATGCCCTGGGTTGTCATTGCATATACTAAGAAGAAAAAAATATCCAGGAGTAGCTGTGTCTAAGTAACTCAGACTCAGGTAAACATTCTCAGAAAACCTTGTGATAAGCAGCCTGCCTGAGGAGCAGGGCTGGGAACCGGGATAGGCAAGCAGTGTGCATAATGGAAGGAAGTCCTTGCTCTGACTGACGAGGGCCGACCCATGAGTGTGCCTGTTTGCATTTGCACTTTAGGTACCACCCTTGCTTTGCCTTAGTCAGTGACTTCATGCTATAATCTTCCCATTCACTCTTAATCTCCCTGCCCACCATCGATAAACTCTGGGTGAGGAGTAGAGGCCCAGTGCTGATGAATGTCAACAAAGAACAGAGCTTTAAAAAGGAAGAATTGTGTTACCTATGATGAGACTTCAATGAAAGGTCCAATAATTTGACCAAGTAGGCCACAGATAAAGGTGACCCAAGATAAAAGAGAGTCAAGAAGGGTTGTAGGGCAATGATCTGTCCTGGCCAGGCCCTGAGTTGTGGTCCAGATAATGGCCAGAGGGCCAGAAGCCCTTTGTGACATTGGCCACAGATGTTCTTTCCCACAAGAAGTTTCAGGATTTTCACAAGGAGGTGTCTGCCCTGTAGGAAGCTCCCTACACAGGTACTTCCTTCCTGGCAGTCCTCATATTTTTCCTTCATCCTGTGGTGCCATAAACATGAAGTCAATCCAGGCAACAGCACTGAAGGAAGAGAAACAAAGTCTCTGCTTCATGGATGTCAAAAGTTCACAGAAAAGCATGCTTTTCTATTGTGAAATTGGAGTGGATTTGAGACCCCGAAGAAAATGGGGACTATCTTCTTCCCCTCTTCCCCTTCATCACACACATAATGAGCTCTGAGCCTTTTTAGGTGCTACCCTCTCCTCCATGTGCCTAGCTACTTTTCAATGCCCGTTTCTATATTGTCCTTCATATGTTTTCAACCTATTCCTATGCTCCCTTTTCTCTCATTAGCTACCTGCCACAATCCTACTAGAAAACTCAGACGTTCATCTGTGTAAACAGAAAGAACTTCAGAGTGAAGAATGCTAGTCTGGTAGAACCCTGACTTCTGGGCTCAGCTCAAGGTTGCAGAGCAGATCACTCAAAGTCCAGGACCACCCACCACACAGTATAAATCCCACCATTCCTTGTGTTGTTTTAACACGGAAGACAGTCTCTTCCACGGGGCTTCTGCTACCACAACACAATCTCGAAGAATCATTATAGACAAATCATCATCACAACATGGCCATATTTCAGTTATTTCCTGAGTAACTGAATTGTCTTGCTGAGACAAGTTCATTAAGATCATAATGTGCATAATATTTTTATGTGTGATGGAAAACATGGGAACTCTGCAAACAACATAATCTTTTAGAGGCTTCTTTAACACACTCAGAAATCATGAGCTTATCTTGTGTTCCAAAGTTCTGTGTTGCAAAACTAAGCATCCCTGTTGCCTTTCCTCCCAAATATGCCATGTCATAACCAGCTAAGTGTATATACCCGTCCTTAAAATATACAAGGTATCTTTGAATTACTGTCTATGAAAATCATACCCCCCAAAAAAGGGCTAACCATGCAACTGATGGTCTATTTATGTTAATACAAGCATAATTTATTGGAGAGAAGGAAAAGTATCCATTCCATAAGAACCTGTCCTAGAGAAGAAATAGATCTTTATATGCAAAGAAGTCCATTGTTTATCATAACAAATCAATGAAAATCTATACTGGCTGGGTGTGGTAGTAAATGCCTATAATCTCAGTACTCAGGAAATCGAAACAGGGCAATCATGAGTTTGAGGCCAACCTGGGCTACATAGTGAGACCCTGTCTCAACCATCACCATCTCCAAAAAAGAAAGAAAAATCTGCTTATACACCTGAAAATAATGAAATAGTGAAGAAGGGAAATTGAGCATGGAATGGAAAGGAACAAAAGTAGAGTGGAATATTGTACAGCCATTACTAATTGATGTTAATGACGTAGACTGTATGTTTAGTATGATACTAAAAATGTCAAACAATGTAATCTGTGCTGCGATTCCAACTGTATCAGTTAAGTGTGCATTTGCATAAAAAACAAAGAACCTGGAAGGAAACAGTTGGTATTTCAAGGTGATTTGATTTGTAGGTGTTTCATATAGTCATTTCTTTTGTAGTAGTTGTAATGTCAAGTAAAATAAATAAAACTTGGGGAATAAAAGGAAAACAGTTGGGTCATTTTCTACACTAGGTGGGATTGTGATGCTTGGGTCATTCTGCATTCTTCCCTACGCCTTTAAAGTAGCCTGCAAACACGACTCAGAGGGATACTTGGGGGGGGGGGTTGTGTCTTTTTGAAGCAGGGTCTCCCTGTAGCCCCAGCTGTCCTGAAACTCACTATGTAGACCAGGCTGGCCTGGAACTCACAGAGATCCACCTGCCTCTGCCTCCCAAGTGCCGGGACTACAGGTGTGCACCACCACACCCAGCTGATACTTGGGGTTTATGAAGACCTTTTGTTGAAAAGGCTGTGATGTGAGTGTAATGGAGCAGATTCCACAGTTATTGGTCTTCTTTGGTAATACATCTAAAGTCCATTTGAACTACTTGTTGGTATTTGACCCTGAACTTCTGACACTCCTACCTCCCAAGTGTTAGAATGACAGGTGTGGGCCATCACACCTGATTTCCTGATTTATTCGGTGCTAGAGATCAAACCTAGGGCTTCCTGCATGCTAAGAAGCCCTCTACCAACTGAGCTATAGCCCCAGCTCTGGTATGATCTTTCCATGACAAATACATAGAAATCTTGTTGACAGAAAATGATGTATTTTTTCTCCCTCCCCCTTTCTCTCTCCTTTCTACAGTTCTGCTAAGCCAATATTCTCTAGAATGAGCACAAAACAAATCAAATAACAGCTAAACAAATCGAATAACAGCTTTTGGACATCAACATCAAGAAGGAAGATGCTTGGGAGAGATCGAAGTCCAGAGACGAATATGGACAAAAGTGAAGTCAAAGCACCTTCTGATTATAGATCTGCAGAGATGGGAGAGATTTTTCTGGGAAAAGATATGCTCATGGATTAAACACCAGCTCATTGGAAACTCATTAAATAAGATCAGATCACATTCATGAAAAATCATATTCAAGAAATATTTCAAGGAAGGAAAATATAAATGTGCTAGGATAAACATGTAAAATACATATGTACTGGTTTATAAACTGTCCTTTTTAAATCAAACTGAAAACAAAAAGCTTTAATCTTTCAATACTCTTTTAAAATAAATAAAAGGGCAGTTAGTTCTAGATTATTCCTATCTCAATAGCCAGGAGGCCAATCAAGTGTCATTCATTGAGGAAGCATCTTAGAAAATGCCTCTGATCTTTGGTTCTTCATCTCGGCTGTTCATTTATTTCACTATGTAGTTACCACCACTTGGTTATTAAGAGTTGTAACACCTCAAACTTTTTAACAGGTATATGTTCAGTTTAATCTGTCTGTATGAGTTACTACTGAGGAAGTGTTTCTGATGTGTAATATGACTCCATCAAACTGTGAATTACAGGAAGTACATCTTTATATCATAGGTTCCCAAGAAACATAGATTTCCCTGTCTTTCAGGAAACAGCATCAAGGAACTGAAAAATATAGAAAGTTCATTTTTTACCTTGGATGCTCTCTTATGTAATATATAGACTGCTATCAAATACACTCTTTTTTCTAATTCTCCCTAGATATGATAGGAAATTAATATACTTTATAAGTAGATATGTAAAATATGAGTTTTCTATTTCTTTGTCAGACATATCATCAGAAGTTCATATCCTTTCATTTCTTTACTGACATATGCTCATTTTTGTTTTTAAAAGAAATTATTCCATTAAATCTACTTCTAAATGATAGTAAGTGTACTAACAAAATAAATTAAAATTTAATAGCCTTAGAAATAAATGACTATATACTTACACATGTTAAAAAAAACTTGGTAGGAATAAGTTACTTTTCTGTTTATTAATGATTGTTTTGAAAATTCTCACATCTTTTCTTTGGTTGGCTGGTATTTGGAAGTAGTTGCAACTAACCAGCTGGCTTCAACAACCTTTTGCTCCCAGAATCCCCCAAACATTGTCCTTATAAATCCTGCCTAAATCCAACAACAGAGAATTATTTCATATTGAAGTAATCCATTGTCTGAGGATAAACACAAGCTCCAGGCAAGGATGCTCAGTGGAAGCCAGTTCATGCTCTACTGCGCAGAAAACAAGCACGTATAGAATGCCTTCATTCAAGGGTTCAGAATGAGGTTAAATTAGCATCTATCACTAGAACATCAAATGGAGGCTAACGTAAGAATCTAGGTTGACTTCTCTTACCCTCACTCTAGCAGGACCACATTCATAGTTTAGCCCAGTGTTGCTAGTACTGGCCGTGTTTTCGCCATAAGTAGAAATGTTTCAAATGGCTAAAAGTATATTACACATATGCTCAAGTAAATAAAACCCAGTTACAGAGATGTGTCTTTTCTAAAGAACCAAATTAAGGGAACACTTAGTCTCTGTAACTAAAGTATTGGTCATTCTGGGGGTTATTTGTTGCTCTAAGTAGCAGCTCTCCTGCCTCATTCAGAACACCCTACTCACTAAATTTAATTACACACAACTTTTAAAGAATTCATCTTTTACTTAAAGGGAGGTATCTCTCTATCTACAGTGAAAACAGAAGGTATTGAGTTTCTCTAATCCATGTAAATTGTGATTCCACCACAGGTCCTACATCATTAAGAAAGATATTAACAAAAATAAAAAAGTACTTCCTCTCCACATAAAAATGTTTTAAAGAAGTTTTTGCCATAAAACCTAAGTGTAATTTAGCATACCACAGTGCTATGAAGATGGGTCATTGATGATGTACCATTTGTACATAAATAACACACATGTAAATCACTAAATGTTAAGTATAAGAAGTATGTTTTTACCTTTTAAAAAAAAGTGACTCCCTTTCTCATTCTGTTCTGTTGTATTATGTCCAAAAGTTGTGTGTAATTTTTTTAAGGTCCAGGAAATATAAAGAAATTTGTTGGAATATCTGAATTTCTGTAAAAAATAAAAATAAAAATAAGATTTTGTTACTTAAAAAGAATATTTGGTGTGGTACACATTTATTTTCTTTCTTTGTCCAAGATCCAGCATGTTATTTACTTTTCTTGTGACTGTGACCTGACAAAAAGCAACTTCAGGGAGGAGAGTTTTATTTTGATGTACAGTTCAAGAAAGAACACAGTCAATCAAGGGAAGTAAGGCATGGCAGCCAGAGCTTGAGGTGGCTGATCTTACTGTGTCCCCAGAGAGCAGAGAGTAGAAAGGAAGTGGATCCAGGCTATAAAGCCACAGTCCCTCCACCCCGACCCCTGGGACTTACCTTTTTACTCAGCAAAGCTCCTCCTGAAGGTTCCACAAACTTCCAGAACAATGCCAACAGCTAGAGACCAAGTGTTCAAACACATGAAATTATGAGGGACATTTCAAATCCAAACCATAACATCCAGTGTGAATTAATGGTTCAATTGAAATAACTATCTTCAGAAACTCTCCTTGTATTCTATAATGTTTGACAAGAGCAGACACTGATTAGCTAAGCAGGACCTCATGTACAGGGTGTGATCAATATCTCCAAGGCCTGCTCTACCCAACTACAGATATGCCTCCAGCCAAATTTTCATACACTCACTCAAGTGAAATTACCAACTAAGCAAATAGCTGGACTGCACAAATAAAACTGGACCTGCAATATCCAATTGCTCAGTCTCCACTCTGAAAATTAGAAACAGTCACTTGTCCCTTGGACAGGAGCAGCTCTCTGCAACACTTCATTCTGGGTATATATTGTCCATAAGGGGTTTAAGTCCCAGATGTTTTGTATATTATATTATCCTGTAAAACTCTTAAGTATTTGTTTCTTCATCTACAAAATGGATATAAATAATATTCAGTCATATAGCATTATTATAAGAATATAAAGTGAGGCTAGAGAGATGGCTCAACAGTTAAGAGCCCTGGTTGCTCTTGCAGAGGACCTGGATTCAGTTCCCAGAACCCACATGGTTGCTAACAACCATCTTAACTCCAGTTCCAGGAGATTCGATGCCCTCTTCTGACCTCCACGGGCATTGTACAACACAAGTATACTTACATACATGCAGGAAATACACTCATACATAAACAAATAAATAAGGATATAAAATGAAGTCATAGTGTTGTTCTTGATAGTCAATGCATGTTTATTCCTTCCTTCTCTACTTCCTATTGTATATATGACACTGAAGGAAAAAAAGAAGCATAAAACATATAAAGTCTCTCTCAAAAGATGAATATATTTAGAGTGACATTTATGAATGAAGACTGAAATTCAAATCCATGTAGAGACCAGGCATACAAGCAGATTAACAAGGGGAGCTAGACAGGGGAACAGGAAGTCATGGAAGAATCAGACAATGAACAGGTAAACGCCAGCTAAAAAAAAGGTGCCCTCGAGGGAATCAAAACAAGGCAATGAAATAGAGCAATGTGGAAGCTGGAAGGAAAGACCTAATTTAAAGTGAGAGCTCAATGATAAGCAGTTAGCTATATGAACAAAGTAAGCCTGGCAAGCAAGGGAACCTATGGTCTAAAAGGTTCCAAGGAAGGGCTAAACTCAGCATGCTAAAGGAACAGCGAGGTAGCAGTAGGGAGCAGTATGGACTGAGCAGGAACAAGCTCTGGGGCTTTGAAGGCCAAGATACTTTGTGTTACATGTTTTAAGCATGAGAGAAAGCAACTGGGGGGATCTTAAGTGAAGGAGTAATGCAAAATACTTTATATTTTTTAAACATTGCACTTGGCTTCCATGTCTAACCGGGAATTATGAAATAGAAACTCTTGAGTCTTTCCTTTGGCTAGGTTGCAGCTCAGCTGGTAAGAATACTTGCCTATCATGCACAAAGCCCTGGGTTCAATCCCCAGCAGTGCATTAACCGGGGATTAGGTAGTGTTAGTGCACTCCTGTATCCTAGCACTTGATTAGTAGAGGCAGGAGGATCAGAAGTTCAAGGTTATTCTCAGTCACATAGTGAGTCTGATGCCAGCCTGGACTACATAAGACCCTGTCTCAAAAAAAGAAAATCAGAGGTCTGGAGAGATGACTCAGCAGTTAAGAACACTGACTGTTCTTGCAGAAGACTCAGGTTCGAATCCCAGCACCCACAATGGTGACTAACACCATCTATAACTCCAGTTCCAGGAGATCTGATGCCCTCTTCTGTCCTCGTTGGGCATTGCATGACAGAGGTGTACTTACATGCAGGTATAACACTCAAACACATAAAATAAAAAATAAATAAGTCAAAAAAATTTTTAGAAAAGAAAATCAGGCTATCAAGATGAATCAGTGGATAAAGACACTTGCTGCCAAACCTGACCCACATAGTGGAAGAAGAGAACTGACTCCAACAAGTTGCCCTCCTCTGACTCCACTTGTATACTGTGGTGGACACACATAAATAAATAAATAAATAAATAAATAAATAAATAAATAAATAAATAAACAAATAAATATCATTTTTTTAATTTTAA